ATATATATATTCTCTTTTCTTTTTCTTTCTTTTTTTTTGCCTCATCCACTCTCACGGCTCTAAGTAGCATATATATTTTAACGCATCCCAAATGTATAGCCTAACCTGGATCTTGCTCCTAAACCTGATTCATGTATCTAGTTACCTACTCAATAGCTCTGTTTTCAAACAACTAGCAACACTGGTTTGAAAAAAGCAAGTTAAATAATAGTTGATGGGATTTTAGAAAGCTGCTCAATGTCCTCAACCCAGAATGATTCCAATATGAATAAAAAAAGCATCTTAAAGGAGTTATAAAACAAAACAGCTTTCTTTTGCTGTCTAATTGGCATTTCAAACTGAACAGTTCCATAGCCCAGCCCCTGTTCCTTCTGGAGACCTAGCTCAATCGATGGCAGCTCCATCCTTTCAGGGGTTAGGATAGAAACCTTGGCATCGCCCTTGATTTTTTTTTTTTCTGCTCTCACACCCATTCCCATTTGTCAGTGCATCCTTTTGGTTTTACCATAGAGTTATTTGCATATTCTCACCACTTCTTCTCTCTCCACTGCTACAACTCTGGTCCAAGCCACCATCGTCTCTTGCCTGTATTATTGTGAAACCTCCTACCTGATCTTGCTTCTGCTATTGGCTGTCAACCCAACAGGCAGAGAGATCCTGTTGCAACCTAAGTCAGATCATGCATTCAGAGTTTTTAAAAGCCTTTGCATTTCTCTCGTAGTATAAGCCAAAGTCCTTCCAGTGGCCTTTGAGGTTCTACCTTATGTAGCCCTTTGTTCCCTCTCCTGCCTCAATGGCTCCCTTCCCATGGCCACCTTGCTATTGTGCTGTTCCTCACACATAGCAGGTAAGCAGCCACCCCCCAGCCTTTGCATTTACTGATCACTGCCTAGAAGATTCTTCCCCCTGATGTCTACACCGTGCTTCCTCATCTCCTTCTGATCTCCACTCAAAAGTCATTTCAGTGAGGCCCTCCCTTCCATGAGGCTGGGATTTTGGCCGCTGTTCACTGCCCTATCTCCAGTGCCTAGAACAGAGTCTGCCCATTCTAGGTGCTCATTAATTATTGACTGAACTGAATGGCTCATCGAGGTAATGCATACAGGGTGGGGCAAAAGTAGGTTTATAATTGTTCGCATGGAAAATAATCTAATAATTAATATTAACACAAGAATAAACTGTTTCGAGTGCTCACAACTGTAAACCTACTTTTGCCCCACCTTATATATGGGCAAGGTTGGGCTATTCCTTGGCCAGGGCTCTGATGAAGGTTTGGTGAGCTAGAATATGATTTCTTTCCCCTTTCAGGCCAAAGCCCGGCAGGGCTGGCTCGTGGCTGGCACGGTGGGCTGCCCGGGGCCTGAGATTTCCGGATCCTCTGAGATCCCCATCACTAGTTGCTTGGAGTTCCTCTGGGACCAGCCTACTCTCCTAGTGCTGGGTAGGTAGATGTTCCTGCTTTTCTGTGCTCAGCTGTTCATTTCCTGAGTGCCTGCCTGTCCAGCTGTGGCATCCCTAATCTCTGCCCTTTCCCCGCTCCCGTGCTCTGCAGGGAATGAGGGCTCTGGCCTGTCCCCAGAGGTGCAAGCCTCCTGCCAGCTCCTCCTCACCATCCTGCCTGGCCGGCAGCTGCCTCCTGGACTGGAGTCCTTGAATGTCTCCGTGGCTGCAGGTGAGTCTTACTTCTTTTCCTCTGATCACACATGTGTAGCTGTTTCATCCTAAACAAGTTTCTCAATCATTCTGCATGTCCATTGCTTTCTGTGCCAAATGCAGAAAATACATCCTTTTGAGAATGAAATGAGGGAGTGCCTGGCATATGGTCCTTCCTCTTCTCAGTTCTCTTCCCCATATCATTCTGTCTGTCTTTGCAGGAATTCTTCTTCACTCCATTTGCAGCCAGAGGAAGGGGAAGAGAGGGCAACATCTCCGAGACCCCCAAGAACCCTCAGCCACGGCTGAAGGGCCCAGATTGCCTCAGCACCCAGGACTGCCCTCAGGATCAGAAAGAGAGAGGCAAGACGGGGGCTGACTTGAACTGTTCAAGATGTGTATGTGCTGGAGGGCAGGGGATAGGTGGCCCACGCATCCACATGGTGAAATGTTGGAATCTGTTACTTGAGTGTGCACCAGGCTCTGTTCAGTAATCACTGTCTTGGGAAGCAGGGAGCTTTGCAGGGAGACCAGAAGAAGTCCCGTTTCCTGTTTTGAGTTTGCACTTGCAGTTGGAGATGGTAGCCTGTTAATTTCTAGGATGTGCTAGTTGAGAGGGTCTGTTTCCTCCCAGGTCCTGCCTGGACATCAAGGGGAAGTCTAAACATCAGAAAGGAGTTGGGCAGCACAGTTCAGGGATTCTATTCCTTCGAACCAGTGTGAGAATGTAGAGGGAGCCAAGGGCTCTTTGTGGGCCAGACAGGTGCAAATCCAGGCTCACACCCTGCCCCACTGCGGGGCCTTGAGCACG